ACATATGTTTCATATGTTTGTTGTTGTTTGATTTATCATCTACGGGTTTATGTCGAATTAATTTGATGGCCTGCTCCCAGTTGGCTTGTTAGCTCAATTGGTAGAGCGCTGCACTAGTATCGCAGAGGTCAGTGGTTCGAATCCCGTACAGGCCTGAAATTTTTTTCAGGTCTGATTTTCACTATTGCTCAAATAGTGCTTTACTGCGAAGGATCGTGCACATATACGTTTCATAACCGCAGTTCATACATATGTTTCATATGTTTGTTGTTGTTTGATTCATATATTTCATTGTATCTCATTTATCACTTTCACGGGTTTATTACGAATCAACTTAACGGCCTGCTCCCAGTTGGCTTGTTAGCTCAATTGGTAGAGCGCTGCACTAGTATCGCAGAGGTCAGTGGTTCGAATCCCGTACAGGCCTGAAATTTTTTTCAGGTCTGATTTTCACTATTGCTCAAATAGTGCTTTACTGCGAAGGATCGTGCACATATACATAGTATTTCATACCGCTTGCAACCTAAGGCTGAATTACTGGTGCAGTTTAAGGTTGAGAACATACGTCAGCATATCAGGCGCCTCTGGCAGCCGCTTCAGTCCATCGATTTCACCTTCCCACCCATTCCACCCAGGGGTGGGCATCCATCACACAGTAATCTCGTGTGTGGGAAATTAACGTCTCCTACCCAACCCTGCAGGGTTGGGGAAGACTAGAATATCTAGAGAAGACTTGAATATCTAACCATTTCTCAATGTTATAGAAAGGTAGCAAATTCTTCTCAATTATTTCAAGACCTTGAGTGTTGGTCCGGCCGGGGCTCGAATCCTCGACCACCCGCACAATAGTCCAGCGCACTATTCATTGGGCTAACTGGGCTAACTGGGCTGACGTTTCTAGTGAGTGCAATGTGGAAATTCCGTGTTGCACTCTTTTTACCAAATAGATTTAATGTTGCCGTTGGCCTGTTCAGTCAATAAGGATTTTCTGAAAAATTATTTGGTGCCATTGCCCTTAATGACAGCTACAGATAAATATAAGAAATTTTGACGGAGTTATGGCCTTGTTATATTTTAAAGTTTGGAAATCAAGTGAACAAAAAAAATTGATTGTGTGCATGTTATTTTTCTTTTGTAGGTGGTCGTTTGGAGTGCTTCTTTGGGAGATCGAGTCAGGAGGTGAACGCTTTAACTCGTATTTGATAATCAGTGCATCTCAACTGATTACTTCCCCAAGAGTTACTTATTAATTAAGCGTCCCACTCTATAGATAGGATTATGTTGATCGTTGGCCTAACAAGTATGTTTCTTTACATTCTTTGTCAAGGTATAATGCCATATTGCGACCTTGGAGGAGCAATGGAAATCATAGATTATCTACAGTCAGGAGAAATTTTAGCCAAGCCGGATGGATGTCCAAATGAATTGTAAATAATGTTTCAACAAATAAAATATAGCTCAGCTCGGTTCTGATTATCGTGGGCTGGCTGACTAAACATTTCCCTTTTCTTTTAACAGATATGATGTGATGAAGTCCTGCTGGGATATGGATCCGATGAAACGTCCATCATTTACAGATCTTTTGGCGTTCCTTGAGAAAGAACTTACTAGAAAAAAAGAAGTAAGTAACGGATTATCTTGACTGGTCGAGTTGATGATCATCCGCGAATAAGTAAAAGTAAAAGAAAATGGACGAGGGAGTTGCTTAATGTTTGCCCCTATCAAAGCGTACGCTCCATAATGTTTGTTTAATTTTTTCCCCTCTAGGATTTGCTGAAAGATAAGAACGTTTTTAAACCTGAGCTCAATGGAAGTATAAATATGTCAATGGACCAGGGCGATACATGAACTAAGATGGAAACACTAGCCGCAGCGCAATCACATATTTGTTGTGACGTTCCCTTGTCTACAGTGAGGGAAAAGTTAATAGTTAGGAATTAGCAATAACTCCCTCACACGGTAAAATCAGTGCACATACTGCTTAAAACCACAGCATTGAGCATTTACCCGATACATCGACTTTCTATACCGTAACATTGTAGTATGAGCTAATATGTTTGTATAGAAGTGAAGTTATCATTTTTATCTGCACTATCATTATTACTCTAATTTATAAATTAGCCGCATCTTTTCCCCTTTATTCCCTGTTGTTACATATTAAGAAAAGTGTAAAAGCCATTAAGACAATACCAAATATTTTCAGGCTTTTGATCTTGTTCTTTGCTTGGCAATCAGTTTCTCAGCTGATTAATAGATTTGGATTTATCAAATCCTATGAAATAAAGTTCGTTGAGAAGATGTGTATCGTTTTGATTGGTTGTAGCCCACCTTTTCAGTTTCCCTCGTAGACTTCTGAGAATCTTCGGAAGTTTGGGACTTCCTTTGACGTTACTTTCACTAAAAGTTTGGTTCGTAAAAACTGTAAGGTTTGCTGCAATGCTATTGGCAATAAGACTGTAACATTGCTTGTCAACTGTGATGGGGCCATCAGCTATCAGGGGGTTTTGAACACCGCAATACCGCAAAAAAATTGGAAAATACCGCGATGTAGCAAAAAATTTGGCAAATACCGCAATATCGCAAAAAAAATTTCCAAATGTCACCAAAACCACTACAATTGCAATTCATTTAAACAAAGCGACCAAAATAATTAACATGCATTGTTGTGTTGTTTGAGGTCTGTTTCAGCCTGTTTCCGAAACAATCTGAAACGTGAAAAGGCTCGGAAAACAGTGGAGGACCTGGAAATAGTTTTTGATATCGTCAAACATTCTAAAAACATCGCTTCCCGCAAGTTCGGAGAATAGCGCAGTCCCGCAATTCGAGATTAAAATCACAATGTCCTCCCCAATTGTGACTGTCTTTTACGTCGATAAATAGGTTTTCATCAGATTCATTCTGCTAAGTTTGTGTTGGGGAGTCTGTTATGATTATCTTAGATAAAAATTAATTTGATCGCAAAACGATTCCAGTTGATCACTTGGATCATAATAGGGTCTAGTGGAGCAGAAAATGTTTCGGAAGCCAACTATCAAATTTATCAAGTGAACATATCTGATTCGATGCGCGCTCCCGATGCAAAGAGATGAATGTGGCCTTCCCTATGTTGATTTTTATCGATTTTGTAACAAGAAAGAAATAATTATCCATTGGTTTTTGAGGTCGTTTTTCAACAGAGGACTAAATCACACACGATTCAATCAATAATCGCAATCATGTGGTCTGAGTTGGTATGCAAATATTGTGGTTCAGCTCACTGCCATGATGTCTACCCTCTATTTCCGCTCAAAGCGCCTTTGTTTGCTGTACTTTCCCGTTGCATCCTAAACACTTTAATGAATAGACCATCTGCAGTTAGGGATAATTTGAGATCGCACCTCGTTGAAAAAACGTCTTCGCCCTGGACACGTAAAAAAAAGCAACTTAATGCAAATCTCATTTTGGTTTGACTGCATGATCGATTTTCCGTTGTGGAATTTCCTTATATTGTCGAGGTGTTTTGTAAACCATGTTAATATGGTTGCTCCAGTCGCCACCGAGTGTGATTTGCTTTATAAGTGTGGCTCACTTTAGAAATCGATAATAATTTGGCCTTGGTAATTATCATTTTGCATCGATGTTTGGATAAGTGTGTCACGCTAAGGAAAGGGTAATAAAACTGCATCCTATAGCTTCTGACAGGCTTAGCACAAAGGATAATGGGGACAATTGGTTTTTGCGGTTTCCGCGTCTGCGCAGATCTACCCTGATTGTGTCATGAAGCGTTTCGTGACAGGAAGTCAGTGTTACTCGGTTGGCTTGTCATTCGCTATTCTACTTTCGTTCTGAAGATCAAAACAAAGTTTCAGTAAGCGGTGCCAAAGAGGTCAGAGCTTTGTGGGAAAAGATAGCAGTCAGCCAAAAGGTACTACCTGAGTTAATAATTGGTTTTCATACAAGCACGCACGCAAAATTACTGCTTTCCTGAGTATCTTTGATAAATTTTCTGGCTTCTAAAACTCTTTCGTTTGAGAGGGAAAGGAATTCTAAAATATCTGAGGAAACTTCGGGCATTTTGTCAATAAACATTTGCATTCGTATAAGTCAAAACTGAAACGTCTCGTCACAGCGGGTTGAGTATGAAAAATAATCCTAAGCTCTTCGGTATTTTATTGTTTGTCCTGTTTATAACTATTCACAGAAGAACATAGTGTCAACGAGAGAGTTTTTTAGCAGATGGGCTGATCTTCTACCGCAAAAAAAAAAACAAAAAAAAAACCAGTCCCATCAAGAAAACGCAGGGAGGGAATGTTTAGGTTTGCTTTCAAGCGAAATGGCATCTTCCGTGCCGCGACTATTGTTTTCGGTGACGTCCGTTAACAGCTATTCAGAGGTAGTTATAATTGATCAGCTATTCTATGTAGCAAGGCTGATAGTTTCGAAAGAAACTGTTTAGGTCTGCGTCCGTGGGAGTATCAACAAAGTTGAAGTGGTAAATTGGCCACCGTAACGATTACAAAGGCTGATGTTTCGAGCGTTAGCCCTTCGTCGGAGCGAATAGAGGAATTGTGGGTTGTGTGTGCTTTTAAAGGCAGAGAATGTGGATCTACGTTATTGGTGGGAACATGGCAATGAGAAAAACTCGTTTTGTAATCGTTACGGTGGCCAATTTACCACTTCAACTTTGTTGATATATCCAAATTATTCTATGTAGCGACTAGTTACTAGGATATCCGCGAAAGTGATTTCCGCCTTTGCGCAGACCTATTCCCTAACTTGTGTTATTTTTTGTAACTAAGGCAAGTTGTGACAGGAAGTTAGTGTTACTCGCTTGGATGGCCATTTGATATCATCTTCCTTTGCTCAAGACGTCGAGCTAAAAATAATAAGAAAGTGACTGGAGCCAAAGAGGTCAAAGCTTTGTAAGGGAAGACAGCGGTCGACAAAAAGCTATTTAAATTGGGGAGTGATTGACAGACAAGAATGTAATTAAAATAATTCGAGTACATGTACTGCTCTGTTACAGGTTAATTCAGTTTGCTTCAAAAGTTCTATCGAGCGTTTCTCTCGTTTTAGAAGGTTGTGAACTTCAAAGTATCTGGAAAAGCTTAGTACATTTTGACAACGCATCTGCATTTAGTTTATTCACAGAGACGTGCTTGTCCCGGTTTGACTGAAACGTCACGTCACGGCGGGCTGATTATGAGACATGATCCAGGGCTTTGGTAGAGTATTGTTTATCCTGTTATCCTGAGAGGAAATTACTATATCTTTCAGAGAATTGGTAAGCGATAGACCCTTTACTTAGTGGGCAATAGTGTAGGGTGTCATTCTCGTAACTAGAGCCAAGAATGGCTCTGAGAGCAACTATGTTCCGCAAATAACTTGATCTCATCGACAGCGGTGACTGAATTTTAAGCTTATTTTTCCCTCGCAATGGGGGACGAACCGATCTCACATAACAAGAAAGCAAGTCTGAAACAGAATATCTACGCATGCAAACAACGTGGCTTGTAAATAGTGAATTAATCTCCAGCAAATTGCCATTCAGCGTGCTGCGAACATCATTTAAAACGACATCTATTATGCCCTAAAAACTATTATGCCCTAAAAGTCCTTTTAAATTTTGGAAAGAGCTTTGATTATGGCTCTATATTGTCTGCTGTAAATATGCAACCACTGAAACTCAGACGATACTATCAATCTCTTGTCCTCCTTTTGAAATGTGTAAAAGTTAGTGGACCTGACTATATTTCTGATTTATTCGAGCCTCGTATATTGCGCTTCAATTTAAGGAACGGCGATCACAATCTCACTCAACCGTCCTACAATAATCGATATTATCGCAATTCCTTCACATATAAGACTTCGCATATGTGGAATCAGCTTCCCTCTTATATTAAAGGATCAACCGATTTGAATGAATTTCGCAAGCTTTTAAAATCCTTTGATCTATCAGTCTTAAGAGCCAGTTGTAAATGTAATTATTGTATATCTTAGGGTTCTGCTAGAGTACGTTTCCTAGTTTTTTCATTAATTCACTGGGTCGCGGGTGCCTGTATTTTAATTGACTTCTTAATTGTATCCTTTTAACTTAGTATTTTATTGTCAATATCAATATAGATCAATTTCTATAGCGCATTTCCATGTAAATGCTCTAATGCGCTTTACAACACTGTGCGGGGGACTTTTCCAGACTGCCGGCGGCAGTTTACAATTAATAAAGGAGAAATTTTTACAGATGCCCCCTCCCCCCCTTCCCAGTAAACAGGCCAGACCACATCACAGTAATCTCGTGATGTGGGTTCTTTAACGTCCCTTGCCGAAATTAACTAATTGATAGGTGCAGGAGACGGGACCTCCGGCTTTACGTCCTATCCGAGAAGACGAAGCAATGTGAGTGAAGCGTCTTGCTTAAGGACACAACGTCAAGCCCCAGCCAGGACTTGAACCCGGGCCATCTGACCTAGAGTCCAGCGCACTGACCACTGGACTACTCACGCCTCACAAAATCGGCTAATTTGTCAAATAGTCGCAGGATTCGAGTAAAGGAAACCATGACTTCAAAATGCTATTTTTCACAAAGATGATATGTCTAAATAATAAACAAATTACTCGATTTTATGTCAAATACGAATATTCCTATTAAAAATTTGCCAATTCCACAATCCCTGTGGCGGCTACGAAATCATCCACAAACTGTCCAAGAACCATTGTAACTCGCTTTACTGTTCGTTACCAGTTAGCGTGTGTCCTCTCAGGGTCCGGACTATTTTTATTACGTTCTTCATGATTATACTTCAAACTCTACTTTGCGTCAAAAGTTCACAGTAGAGAAGAGGTAGCAAGTTGATCTATAGACTGAGCCTTCTTTTAGCTTTCACGCATGACCGTAATGATCAGTTTTCCCAAATAATAATTACAACGTCATTTGATGGTATTTGATTCCTATCTAGCAGAAATTAAAAGGGGAAATGGCAAGCTTGAACTAATGTGATTGTCTCCCTACCAAATAGCCACAACTTCACAACTTCTGTAAAGTTCGAGAAAGCTTGACCCGATAGCCTCGCTTTCGTGTGCACTAATACAGGAAGCCGCTGTCCAACTACACCGCGCACGCAGAACTGGAAAAAGGGCTATTTGATTATGACTGAGAAAAAAATACAATATTGGGGCTGAATACATACGAAAGTTTATTCAACAAGGTAAGCTACGAACGATAAATAAACGAAGACCTATCAAAATTTAGGCTCTATTTATTCATGGCACTCAGCGTCAATTACAGAGCCATTGTGTAACTCAAAAATTCTTTAAAAGGC